ACCCTAGGATATTTTCTCAGCCGTTACAGACCATATCTGCTAAACGACCATGTCTTAGTTGAGGAAGCAGTTAGCTCAATCAGGAATCAGGACCATGCCTTTTTGAAATTCCTTCGAGTTCCAGTTCAGACCACCCCTCTGAACCACAGCTTAGATGCGGATTGGTAATATTGTCTCTCATTTCACACAAGCTGCGTCAACACTACCTTCGAATTGCCAAAATCACCACTGTGAAAATGGGGATCACAACAAAATCACAGAAACACCTTTCAGTCTAATGAACTAAAACACAACACCACCGGTAACTACAGTTTCTGAAATGACCACAGCTCAACTCCTCACTGCTCTGACACTTCCTTCCCCCTGGTGGTCATCTAATTACAGAGTGCAGCTTAATTTGTTTTTTCTTGCAATGTCCCAACTACTCTTCATTTACTAAAATACACGATTAGATGGCTGAACATGTTAGTACATAAGCAGTGGCTGTGGGCCAGAAGAGCTTGACTCTAGGTGAAAATACTAACAGTTTCATTTGGGCTGGAATGGAATAGCTGTAGGTAGAATAAGAACAATATTATTGTTATATAAGGTCATGCTACTGCAGAGGGACTCCTGGTAATGTCTGTGGTATTTGGGTCTGGTCTTTTTGTGTGTGCAGAAATGAAAGCAAGTTTGTTGTTGTTATCATTAAGGCAGAAAAGGAAACCCTCACCCCAGTGTTCATCCTGGGGTCTTTATAGTCTCTGCTCTGTCTTTGAGGAACATTTCTACATCTGTGGTGTTCTTTATTATGTGAGATGGAATCAGATGGTAAAACCCCAGACATATATCGTGCATTACATTTTCACCTATAACAGGTTTTCATGTTATCATAGTTACCTTTATATACTGGAGTTTTAATTTCTCCTCTTCGATCTGTCTCCTCTTCTTGGCAATGTCCTCTTGGATTCTCCTCTTGTCCTGCAGGGGTAAAATCAAACACATTGCATCAAGTGTAAAATTCACAGCATGGAAACTATTTCATCCATTTTATTCTCGTGCTGACACTCCAACCTTGAGCTGACAGCTGGACACCAGCAGCCATAAATAGCTAAAAAGCAATACAACCTTCAGGGCCTGACCCCATGTACCTGTTGTTGTGTGTATGTGTGTGTATGTGTGTGTATGTCTGTGCATGTGTCCATCTGTTCACTACAACCACTACCACTTTCCCTGTTAACGATTACCTCCTGTAGGTGAGCTTATCCATTTTAAATGAAGTTAGAGAGTCCACTGGACGTTAAAAATGGACATGTTTGTCCAGCCTGGATAACCACAGACAAACACACTACTTAATGGCTCTAATCACTCACTCAGCATCAAAACACAAGCTCTGTGTTTGTAGATGTCACACTCAGGGGGTTCACTGTGGCTAAAATCAGCTCATGGATCCTGGATCAGTGTTGGCCTAAGCCCCAGTGAAAGGGGATCTCCCTGATGACGTCTGCTGGTATTTATAGTCCAGTCTCTGTCTGGGCTTGACTCAGAGTCAGGCCAATGAAAACCATTTTATGAAGACAACTGGCTCCATGATAATTAACTGAGAGAGGACAACTGATCAAATGATCCCTGTTACTCATCACGTTTGTATTCCACTTTCACTTATCAGATGTCAGGGATTTTAAAATAAATCTATTTTGTCTACAAAGCCCCAACAGTCACATCACATTATTCAGATGAAAATGAACAAGTTCCCTCTTAAAAAGCTGAAATCTCCAAAGTAACTTCTTATTGCAACAAGAACATATCGAAATAAATAAAAAAGTCTAAAATACATTTCATAAAACATCAGACATAATCCTCCAGGTATTGACTTAATACAAGTACGTTCTTTTTTGCTGTAAAATAATAATAGTCAGAGACTGAGTAGACAGGAAAACAATGGCATTCTTAGTGGCATATGTATATGTACATACATTGAGGTTTAAGGGCAGAGGATGTCACACCTTGTTTAAGTCCTATGAGACAAATTGTGATTTATGGGCTATACAAATACAATTTGATTCATTTTGATTGATTGTATGAGCCATCATTAATTTAAAAAGTCCAACATTTAGCCTAACACCTGTATATTCTGTATCTAGTAGTTGCAATGGTGTCAGCCTAAATGCTTGATACAATTAAATATTGAATTCCCAAACTCTGGATTCTAGATGAATGAATACGTGGTAAGTTTAATTAATCAAAAGTTATCTGTGGAGCAGTAAAACTGGTATGAAAAGTGTTGCATCCGCTAGAGTTTAATTGTGTCTCAGTTTTAGTTTATGTTTTTTTTTTTTAAAGTGCTCAAGGGGGGCCACATGAGCCCAGAATCCCCTCACCGCTGTGTTTGGGACTCAACATTGTTCACAGGTTATAAGAAGGTGCTGCTGGGTGCTATCACAGAATCAGCTGGTGCATCTTTAAGGTGTTAAGGTAGTAAATGTCGACCCATGATTACACAGCAATGTTTCATTAAAGACCCCATTGGGGCTGTCTGAGATATTGGCCATGATTGCATCTTAAAAGAGGATAGTTTGTCCTCATGCTTCTTGCATTGTGTTTGCATCTTTCTGCCACAGTTAGATGTTGTGCTGCCTCCCTGCACTCTGCCGGGGGAACTGACCTCTACAGTTATAGCAATAGCTTTAGCTTAAAGGTTTTCTTCTGCATCTCTGTCATCCTGCAACAACACACCCACACTTAATATTTTCAGACTCTGCTTGGTAACAAATCCTGATTTAGTGGTGCATCAAGACATTATCCCCAGCCTTAGGATCACTGGCATGCATATACAAATAAGACCTCATTTCCACTGATGGCAGTATGTAGGAAGATGACAAAGACATTATCTTTTTAATAGCTACATATTGGTCTGAAATTTTATTTAATTCTGCATATGAGCCATATTTGATTTGGTGCACTATGCTGTTTAAAATAGTTTCATAATGACTTGAAATAAAAATCACGACACAATATCTTCACTAAAATATTTTTAACACACAATTCACACTAAATTAATTAATACTAACATGCCCATATGCAGCCTACACTTGGCTACTGTTCGCTTGTTTCTCTTTTCCTTTCGTCTTTTCTCATTTCCATTTTGAGATTTTCCTAATGTCAGTTTTCATATGTCATCTATATAAATGCAAATGAAAAAAAGATACATTGGCTAAACTCCACAGTCCTTTTCTAGGTAAAAATACATTTTAAAGTTCATTTGCATGAATATGAGGCTGAAGCAATCTGCATGTGATTGGGTGAGTGTTTGAACATTAATGTTAATTAATACACAGCAGCAGTATGGAGAGATTCAATGTTTTTTTCTGTTTTCTCTTACGTTTGAAGAGTTGGTCACCATTAACTGCCATGTATTGGATTTGGCTGCAACGCTGTTTAGCCCTGAAACTCCAAAAAAGTGTTTTGTGGACTCAAACACTATGCCAGCCCCTCCGCTGGCATAGTGGTGAGTAGATAATGAGTGAATTTTCATTTTTGGGTGAACTATCCCCTCTAATCTTCTAATGTCAGTAAAGTTTTGTTAAAATGCCCTCTTGATTTGACTGGCAGTCTGCTGAAGCCTCATATTTAGTTCAGTTGAGTTTAGAATGTGTTTTTCACAGAATAAAAGACTTTGGATTCCGTGTCTTATCTCTTACATTGGAGTCATTTAGGAGCAGATCTCGTCACAGTCTATATGTTTATATGGAACAAGTTTGGAAGAAAAGAAAAAGACAACATTTTAACTCATTTAAAGATGCAGAAAGCATCCCTATTCTTCATCGTTTTCTTACATTTCTGTAAAACAAAAGAATATTTTTTTCATTTGCAAAATACTCTAATTACTAATAATGAACCTGTTTTATTCATATATGCATAAATTCTAATCTAGTTACAACTACATGTTGTAGCATTGCAAATACTCGAGTAACCAAAGTCTGAACACAATCACCTGGTCCCTCCACCTCATAAGAGTTTCCCCATAGAGTTTATTTGGATTCTAGCCTACTCTTGTTACTAGCAGAGGCACAGTACTGGTCCCTACCGTGATGGCCTGGAGCCTCTCCTTCAGCAGGTCAGCCTCGTCCATGTCGGCCTACAGGAAAAGACAGAAACCCTGAATTAGCTGGACAGGAAGTAAGAGGACAAGATTCAAAACTCTTAAATAAAGACCAAATATCTACACCTTTCCAGAACAGATCACATCCCAGATCCAATAATAATTGTATCAAGGCATTTGGGTAATGTGAAGCCTGTGAAGTACCACAACCGAATTATATTGTTGCATCCCACATATAGTCCAATATTAAGTTTTTAACAAATGTTACTCAAACGAGAGGAAATTGTGAATTTGTAGGGAAGTATCTGTTTGTTTTATTCTATAATTGTTGCAATTTTGCAAATTTGTAATTAATTTGATTAATTGCTGTAACTAGGGACATTATTTTATTATTTTATATGATTATTTTTGGGGTGTTGTTGTTATTATTATTATTTACACAGATCCATAATATGACTGGAAGTAGAGTACAGTCACATTATGTATACATTATACACTAAATGGTCAACTGCATACTGGGTCAAACAGTGTTTGTCTCTGCCACCAATGACTGCGGCACCTCATAACACACAATATGTATTTGAGTAAATCATCTTTGGGAGCAGGAGGGACAGAAAGATAAGTATCATGTTTGTGTCAGATGTAAGTGACATGTTTGCTCCAGTCCTGAGTGATGGCTCCATGTCTGTGGGGAATGTAACATGGCTGTGCTGAGTTATAATGTGAGACAGTATATCAAACGTGAACATGTCTGCAGCCTCACACAGGGATGATGAAAAGAGAGGACTAGGTTCAGGAAGCTCTCAACAGGACACATCACCATCAGTAAACGGTGGTTGTCAGGGTATCCGAGACTCATGCTAGTTCTCTTTCCAGTCAGTGGGATACAAAACAGAGCAGAACAGTTCCATCAAACTAATTCAGAGGGCTGTCTAAGTCCAATTAGTGGAGTTGTGTACACTGTGGATATTCACAGAAAGGAGGATGTTGTCGAAACACCTCTCAGTCATGGACAACTTCTCCCACACAGTGGGACTGGTTCGTCAAAGACTGACTGAATGAATGCAAGAGGTTCTTCCATCCTTTAGAAATCCAGATATAAAATCCCTCTCCTCACCTACTCAACAATTTGTACAACTTCCACAGTATATTGCCTCTACTACTAACTTATGTTAAAATTACTCCTCCTTAACTCTGATCACTGTTTGGCCACCTTTAAATTAATATATTTATACATTTTTCCCATGCATCTTTTTCGCAAACACAATTGCTATGTTTTCCTTTGGACCTATGTGCAGTATCATGTCATATAAGAGGGTTCAATGATGTTTAACTTTACAACCTGGGTAGCAAACAAATATTCATAAAACAGGCAGCATTACTTTATGTGTGCCGCAATCTTTTTTTATTTTCAGTTTCCTGAAATATAAACACTTATGGTCGTACAGGACAACATGGGCTCCTCAAAGCAACTCAATGAGGATCTATGATACCAAACCATGGAAGTTAATGCAATGTTTCTGACCAAATTTTGTTATGCTGTGTTTGTTAGGGGTAACTGTGGAAGTCCAAATTAGATCTTTTTTTAAATTTCTATTTATTTATTTAACTGACAAAATAATACAAGAATGCCAAAAACAATGAATACTTAATTAATGAATAATGTCAAAGGCAGAGAGAGAGAGTGTGTGTAAACAGTATGTTGCTTTTTTGATATCACAATAATAACAATGATTTGGCATAAGAGAGCATTGAGAGAGACGTTCAAGAAAATATGATGAAATAACAATAATACAGGACCAGCAGCAAGGTTCAAATGATTCTGGAGGGATGTGTTATACTTCCAAAACCCAAAATAGGGGTTTGTAGTGACTGAGTAGATCCTTCTGTTTAAACAAAGGCAAGGTTCACTAACTAGTTTCTTCTAGAACCCATAATGTCTACAACCATATGCTGCTATATTTTAGCAGACACGTTTTAAGTATTGCAGGGAGGAATAGAGGAAGCAGAAACATCTCAAGTGATCTGCAGATGACAGGCTCTTCATGTTGTTTGCATGAATCATCACAGCTCCAGAATGTCATCAACATAAGACATCTGAGCCCATCCTGTCCGGCTTGAATTGTTTTGGTTTGTCATGGTTCCAGAATTAACCCACCCATTTCCGAAAATGGCAAATGATAACCACATCAGACTGAAGCACAGAGGAATCTACAAGATTATTCCTGACACACTCCAATCTCTTCATCCATCCCTCCACTGATCTTAATTACGATCTGTTTCAACAGTGACCAACATTCTCTGTAGTTCTGCTCTCTTTCCTCAGATCCAACACACACGTCTCTGATGTATTCAGATACTATAAAAAGGTCATCACTTATAGGATCATTTTACAGGCAGGGAACTGGTAAGCTGCTAGAAGTACATACTGTCAGAGATATCATGATCCTGAGTGATAAATAGGCAGGGACATGTTTATTTATGTAGTGCTGGTGTTCACACTGCTAGTAGCACCTGGACAGAGTACATTTCATCCTGTCCATGCACACTACCGGTTCCCTCTTCAGTATATCAGGGGACACATGGGTTCATGTCCAGTACAGTTAAAATTGGAGGTCATATTGTCATATTGTCATTCTAGTATGACTCTCCTTTTTGTAGTTTTACTCGTTCTGTAGACTGGCAATACGGGCCTTGCTTATGGGCCCACACTGGACTTGTCATGCCCTGATTGGGAATCTAACAAAAGCCTCCTGTACCAAAGGCAGTGTTCCACCCAAACAATTTTGCATTAGTGATGATAAAAAACTTAAATATAATACAAGTAAACAGAATGTAATTTATACTAACCATGGATCATTGTGATTAGGCAAATACAAATTGCTTCTGTAAAAAGGTGCTGAAATAATTATTATTTGAAAATGAAGATAATGAGGGAAATAACCTTCGTCCACGTCACAAACATTGTTGACTGAACCATCAACCTAAACCACAACTGCCACAATGGAATTACGTGCAATTTCACCAGTGGTCATAGGTTAACCTATTCAGATATTAAATATATTATTTCAGTCCATTAACTGACTACATGCTGAGGGAAAGAGGAAACAAAATAACTAGTTTTTGACAGGATGTCCTTAATAGTCCACACAGTCCACACTGTTAGCTGAGAGGGAAGGGATCACATTCACTCTAGTTTTTTCTTAACAACATATCGTATGTGAGTAGGTGAATATATTTTTATACATTCAATGCTAAGCTCTCTTAAACACCCACACACACATATTACCTTAAATCCGCCTTTCAGTCGCACATGACAAACACAGGAACAGTTTTCTCACAAGCAATTTTACATTTACTTCCCAGCAAATAACATTAACCTTGACCTAGAGTGGGAAACTACTTCTCTGTTAAAACTGTTGTAAAATATGTAATTAGTTCTTTGTAAAGTCAAGTAAAAAACCCTAATCAAGACTATTTGGTTACAGCTTCTTAAAAATCAATAATGTTTATGTTCAGAGTCAATACTGTCACATACTGAATCACCCACCAACAACTACAATAATAACCAATGTTGTCTTGACCTGTTACCTGTTCCTATACTGGAACTGCATGATTCACATTTTGACACTAAAACTGAAAATATCAAGTCCTTGTCAAATATATCTTTCCACATATATACATGGAGGGGCAGGGAGGTCCCAGAACAGAGCCATACCGCCTAATATAGAAATACATTTATTGTATCCAACAAGTCTACAGTGTGATTTGAACTCAACAGCTTATTATTCCTGTCAAAACAAGTATAACTAACATTATTCAGACTTTCAGTTGTTGTCAATTACACTTGCTTCATCAATGCAGATGCAGTTTGGAAAAGAAATGGAAAAATTGACGGAGAGGGGGTGGATTTTTGTTGAAATTGGGGGAAAAAATACCAATATTTATATTATAAAACAAGATTTTCATATTAAACAGTCCAACTCACCAACCACACAGATTTTTACATCCAAATTAAAACGAGGAAGAACAGCATTAGTCATTTCTCAAAAAACCTCTCCTGTACATAATGTCTCTTGCTCAGCAGCCACAGAGGTGTAAAAAATGTGTTGTTGCTGCTAAGGTAAAGCTAGAAAAAGTCTGTCAGTCGAAGCCAAGGGACAGGAAACAGATATTAATTTCCTACCATCAGTTGTTTTCTTGTAGCACTGACACAGATCATTTTCTCACTCTAACAATCAAATAAATCACATCTCACTATGTTGACCGCTGGACCAAAATGTATGAAGTGTACATGAGCCAACACAGGAGGGTGTGTGTTTGTGTTCATGTCAGCCAACCGTCTACAAACTGATCCTTTCTTTTACATCATTCTGTCCTGTGTCTCTGCTGTTCCCACTGTCTGCTCTAACTCATGAAGTATTCATAAATCCCTTAAATATGCACACATTTTTCATTGAAACATGTTATACTTGTGTGGATATGACTTCATAGCAACATAATTCTCCCCCAAAAATTTGGGATGGAGTTGCAACACCTCACAGTCGCTTTGTTTTTTGGAAGGCCCTCACAGACAAAGTCCTCTGGTAGAAATTCAAAAAACCATTAAGCCGCGAGCCACACATTCTGTTCCACCTTGTCATAGCTGTGTAAACAATATACAACAGCAACCCTTGTTGGTTTTATGGGTAACTCATAACTTCTGATCTCAGAAAAAGTGCAAACAAGTTGCCTGTGTTGTGGAATCTGCAAGATTATGCTTTCAGCATGACCCTAAACTAGTTTGTGAGGTCTACTAGCCTAATGTAGCTTCAAGAAAAGTGATTGCCTCACATGATTAGTTAAAGTGAGGGACATTAACTAAATATGCAGTGGTTAAACTGTTATATTACTAACTCCACTGTTAAAAAACAGATTCTCATTAAAATTATTATTATTATCAGCATTTGTGTCATTAACAATAGTCGGATTGGTATTGCCATAATTGATGTTATTATTAATAACATTATCACATCTATATGCATTATTATTGACAT